AAAAAAAAAATCAAATTTTCCCTCAAAGATCTATAAGAGCTTTATACATTGGCAATAAAATAGCAGTGGAACAATCCGTAGATAAAAAGGAGTTTGTTTTTTAAACCTCTAACGACGAAGAGTCGAATAGGTGGCTTACTGAGTCGTCGTCACACGCGGAATCTCCTACAAAATTATTAAATAAATTATCGCACGCAACTTACCCTACACGCTTGACAAAGTTTAACCACTCCAGCCAACTTCCCAGTCACATCTAGGACTACATCCTTCATCATATTGTCTATCTTTCGCCGCTGAGCCTGCTGTTCTTTCTCACATTTCGCCAACTCCTCATATGCATGTAACTGAAGTTAAATAAGTCTTATGATACAGCCTCACTGAAAATTCAAGTATAGAGGAAGGAACTAACCCTATTGCTACGAAGTTCTTTTAAAGCTTGGACCTCATTCTGTGCGACATCTAACTTTAATGTGGCCTTCCCCTTTTCATCTGCCCAGTCTTCTCGCTTTAATGTTTGTTCATGCTCCTTGAAATTTAGTATTCTTGAAATGCACAATATTCACAAAGTTATTTAGCTAGAAGAGAAACATTCATTCAAAAAAAAGAACTTTATAGAATTTTGAACTGACCTTTTGCTGCAATTTTGTTTGTAATGTGCTCAAATAAGCTTTTTTATTCTCCCTGTCTGACCTTACTTTCTCTATTTCTTGTTTGAGACTCATTTTCTCCTCTTCCACAGCAGTAACCTTACTATTGACAAGGCTGGTCAGAGTCCCTAGGTGCTCCTAAAAGTGTTAAAACTGACATTAGAATCCTTGGAAGCAGAATACAGTAGAAAAATGAATTATTCTCGACGCTGAGCGGGCGGTATTTGATAAAAAAACATCCAAATACCTCTATTTCCTCAGTAAATTCGATGAAATCACTTGAGTTCGGAGAGCTTTCCTGCATCTTCGCGATGAAGGAATCTGATGCTGTATCAAAGCACCGCCGTAAGTCGTCAAATTCTCTCGTCATGCCAGCATATAACTCTCGAAGCTAAAAATTTAACAGTTAACAAATGATAAAGTGTAAGAAAAAAGTGAAATCTGAGACATACTTGACTTCCCTCCTTAAACAGTTCCCGTTGGAGAGCACATACAGCGGCCTCAAGAGCCTCCAGTTCAATAGTCATTTGTTGAAAATGTCCTTTGAGCTAAAAAAGAACAAAATGTTACAAAGCCCCCGGTATACAACTAGGAATTCTTTTAGAATAAAGAAGTCTAACTTCAAGACAATCTTCGCTTGCGACAAAATAAATTGAAATTGACATGATTAAGCGTGACCTCATCTCGTTTTGCAGGAAGCTCCCGTATTTGGTCAGATGTAAGCTCTCCCACAGCCTTACTTTTAATTGTTTCATACCTCGATAAACCGGAATTCAACTCGTCTAACATCGCTTTCTAAATCAATACTTCGATAACACAATGAGACAAAAAACGAAGACCCATCAGAAATGCGATGCGTAATTAACTGCAACCTCTTCTGCGTTTAAATTTTGTAGAAACTCCTTTCTAAATGAATAATGATAAACAAAGCATACCTTTTTCTCTTCTATCTGTTTCTTGGCATCTTTTACTCGTTCTTTATACTCCTCGAGACTTTTTAAATCAGTTCTTGCAGTTTCTAACTCCTCACGCAACTTGCTTAACTCATCCTGAAACCTTTTTTTTTTACAGAAGAATCAAAGAATATCACTTAAATAAAAAAATATACTTTTCAGAACCTACTAAAATATAAATTTTGTTTTACTACGAGAATGAAACAATAAATAAAAAGTAGAGTTCCCACTTGGTCTTTTAGAAGAAGGAGGCGTTCATCATCAACATTTTTTTCTTTTGCTGTGAGTTCCGCAGTCATCGCAATAAAGTCCTCTTTCTCTTCTAAATAATGGAAACCATAGAAATAAAATTAGAAAACGTAGAAAGGGAACCGCAGAAGTGATTAGGAAAAGAACTTTTTATTTACATACCAAGAATTTGGATAAAGTTTTCTGTCTCTTGCTTGAATTCCCTCTCAGTCCATGACCCACTGCTTGCTTTCATTTGTTTGTAACATTTTACAACATATCCGTAGCCAAGCTGCAAATTTATAGGCTTCTAAGTAAAAATTCGATAACTCCAGAACTGTTTTAAAAAGACCACAGTAACTACAGCAACATTACAAAACTACTAACTGATGTACGCTGTCCATCTGTATCGTCGCTGGCAAGTAATAATTCTTGAGGCTGCAAGTTGGATGCTATCTAAAACTTATAATTAGCAGATTTAATAGTGTTTCAGGATGCAACTTCCAATATACAAACCGATTTCAGAAAAGCCGTCAAAAGCAAAATATTATGTAGAAAACTACCGTTGAATAAAATAAAAGGAATTTGTGTAATACAGTCCATTACCGCGTACCCTAACAACATCAATCAGCCATGTAATAGCTCCTAACAAAATGTGCATGGTATGGCTAGCACCAATGGTCTGCATCGTTGACGGCTTCAATGGTACTGGATATCCCAGTAGTTGAAAGAGATGTGGCATCTACAAAAACTGAAATTTTTCAAAGGCAATTAAAAGACAATCTTGGGGTTAGGATCGTACCTCGTCTTCTATTTTACCCTTTAAGATGTACCGGTGATCGAGATGTTGATATATAAACTCAAAAATCTTAGCGAAATCACTACGCGTAGGAGATCTGACCATCTTCTCAAGATTTGGAAACGGAAAGTCATTTGCAGTCAGAAACTCTATCACCTAAAACTGTCAAAATTCACACATTTAGCGTCTTTATCCTCAGCGATTTGAACGTACTTGAAGTTAGAATTGCAGAACTAATTTTCTGGTTAATATGGCGAATACAGTACCAACCTTTGCTTGCATAGTTCTTTGAACTTCCCTGTCCTTCAAGTTTCTAGTTTCGTTATAAGTACCTGGACCAGATCGAAAAAAGGAACTTGCACGTCTAAAAATATTTCCATCATTTGAAAATTTAAGCACTACTGTTTGAAAAAATTTTTAAAAATCCATGAAAGTAAGCACAGCTAAAAGAAAAAAAACAAAAAGGAAATAAACTTTTTAGAACTGGAGGCTATCCCAAGAGGCAAAGCACTGAACCGATCATTTCCAAAACTAGAAAATGACACAAATTTAGCTTGGTTATAGCGTGAAATGAATGAGCTCTAAGGTATAAATAACTAGCGAACAATTGCGCTCAAATTACTTGTCTTTTAAGCATTTTAAAAAACTTCCTACCCTGTCCTTGATGCACTTTTTGCAACTGACGATATCGTAGGTCTTGAAAAATACTTATTACTTGGGGTTTGTAGACCAGTTGTAAATCTCCTCATGGCGAAATGCCTTCAACAAAAGATACCAAGTACCACACAGCAGCAGATATATTGAAAACCACCAATAAAAAAACTTCCCATACCATCAAACAGGACCAATGCTCAAAAAAACAAATAAATGAATACAGAGAAAAAAGATGAGCCTAGAACAGCACGCTAACAATGATTCAGAATTTGTAATTTTGGCCAAATAATCGCGCTTGCTCATTACCCTTAGACACAAGCATAAACAGTGTATTATTTCCGTGAAATTAACAACAAAGCTTCTAATCCTGTAAAATACGAATTAATGATAGAAAAGTAAAAACAATGCATCAGTCTGTAAGGAAAGGCTGTACTGTACACTAATTTATCTTTGCACTTCTCATATTACTAATGAATCCCACATTTTAGAAGCTCTAATACGCAAGATAGATATTAAGCAAGTCTGGTAATATCATGCGAAGAACAAAATTATGGTACTTGATACTAAAAAAATCTTTGATTCCCTAATTTCCCGCCTTTTCGCGGTTTAAAATTTTAGGCGGGAAATTAATCAGCTGTATAGTCAGATACTTCAGTCAGTATATACTGTGCCAGTCCTAACGCTGCATTTCTCGTACTGTTTTTGATGCAAAAAAAGTTCCTATGTTATAAATTGTTGTTTCCTTTAAATAATCAACTTCAGAATTGTGTCACATGTGGACAATGATGGTGGACAAGACGTTGAATTCATTATCTGGTTAATTGATCTGGTTCCTTGCAAACTTTATCTCTGTTTTCAGTGAGCAGTTTGCACTGTAATTAGCTGGTCAACAGATTAGATCAAAAGTGCATGTCTTTGACGAATTTACTCGGTTTTTTAATTATTTTTAATAACAGAAATGTTAGAACACAAGTTGCGGGTTAGCAGTTCCCGTACGCTAATTTATGGAAACGGTTTTGTTAAAGCTATTGTTCTTCTATTTGCAAAGGTTTTATGGCAGTTTTGTTTGGTCGATTTTGAAACTTATCAGACTTGGAACTAGGTGGTTATAAATTATCTGTGGACGTATGGATATGTATTTGAAAAGAAAAAATCACGAACTCACTAATGCACCTGTCTTCACATTATCTGTACAAATGTAAATGGAACTTGAAAGCAGGTATTATCATTTTTAATCATTCAGTAAAATTGAATGAATATAAAAGTTTTCATATATATATATATTTATACAAAAGGAAAGAATTATTATGACTCTAGCAACAAAATTTGGTATACAGAAAACAACTTTTTTTTCAATTACTAAGCTATCATAATATCTATCAATTGTAGATTAGTTTTTAACATCTACAGTTTATGTATATTTTGAGCAAACACACGACAGGTACAAGTAACCGTTACAAGATAGACTGAACTACCGAAATTTTTATATGTATATATTACTTGTATAATTTGAAAAGTTATTTAGTGATTTTCTAGGCAGAAAGTCCTTCAGTAGACTTTGTTGTCTCATTTTGTGATATTTTTAGCTGTTCTTCCAGGTATTCGATCCGTTTCATTAACTTTGCTTTCGTGCTAATGTGTTCCGAAGTTATACGAGCAAGTCTAAATATATTTATCTAACTTATCATCACCGAAAAAAAAGAAGT